TACCTAGATTAAGTGTTTCGATAACTTAATACATTATAACATTAACAACATGATAACAAGATTAATGGAGACAGATATAAATAATGATGATGATGATGATGATGATGATGATGATGATTGATGATGAAGATGATTGATGATGATGATGATGATGATTGATGATGATGATGATGATGATGATGATGATGATGATGATGATGATTGATGATGATGATGATGATGATGATGATGATGATGATGATGATGATGATAAGAAGAATAATAAGAATAAGAATGCTATAGAAATATACACAAACAATGACAATGCAGAAATATACACAATCATACAGCAACACAAAAACATACACCAAGACAAACATACAAACATACACCCACACATGAACTACACCAACACACAAACAGTATCACTCTCTACAACAAACTACATTGACTGTATCACACCAACACTCAGATGCTACAAACAGAATAACAAAATCACTTGCAACATTGTCAACAGGAGTTTCAACGGGAGTTTCAACAGAAGTAACAACCATTACTAGTGACAAGTATAGTACATTTACCACACTACAGTATATTTACCTCTAGGTTAAAACATCTACAGGGATAAAACAGAATTTACCTATACATTATAATTTTCATACTGTCACCTGTACTAATAACACGATTGTAAGAAATATATAGTGATGATACCAAACAAACGAACACAAAAAAACAATAACAATGCCAACAAAAACAACAATCACAACAAAAACAACAGCAACACCAACAACAAAAACAATAACACCAACAAAAACAATAACAATCACAACAAAAACAACACCAACCACAACAATGACAACCACCCCAACAAAAACAATCACAACAAAAACAATAACAGTCACAACAACAACAGTCTCCCCAATACCTCTTAGCTCGCCGCCAGTAAGAAACCCTTATATAGGTTGAGAGATATTACGCTGAGAGAACTCTAATAAATTTCAACACTGCCAAATAAATCTAAACCACGTCAAAACTCATAACACAAGTTGTTCTTAACTCTGGTGGTGGTGGTGGTAGTATGGTGGTGGTGGTGGTGGTGGTGGTGGTGGTGGAGGAGGTGGTGGTGTAGGAGGGAGGTAGGTGGTGGTGGTGGTGGAGGGTGGTGGTGGTGGAGGGAGGTGGTGGTGGTGGTGGTGGTGGAGGAGGTGGTGGTGGTGGGAGGTGGTGGTGGTGGAGGGAGGTAGGTGGTGGTGATGGTGAAGGGAGGTGGTAGGAGGAGGGAGGGTGGTAGTGTGGTGGTGGGAGCCAGGATGGCGGTGGAGGAGTATGAGACCTTGCCATACTCTGCCACAAACTTCCACCGACCCCCACCTGCCACTGACCCCACCTGCCACTTACCCCACCTGCCACTGACCCCCACCTGCCATCGACTCCACCCACTGTCTCCCCACCTGCCACTGACCCCCACCTGCCATCGACCCCCACCTGCCACTGACCTCACCTGCCACTGACCCCCCACCTGCCACTGACCCCACCTGCCACCGACCCCCACCTGCCATCCCTGAACCCAAGTGATGTGGCGAATATTGTCCATAATTTAGGACATACGTAAATAAATATATTAATATAATAACGAAATAATTACCATGAAAAAACAGCAAAAATATAAAATCAATAAAATAAATTAGATGAAGAAATCAAAGAAAATAAAAACAATAGAAAAATAATAACGAATAAGTAAAATTAAATAAAGGAAAATTAAAAAGTAAATAAACAAATACAGTCAAAAGTAGATGTGTTCTCTGTGTCAAAAAGTAACATACTCAGGCATAGAGCTGCTGGCGCCACGACTATCAGGTTCACTCACTCACATACACGAGATGGCGTCAGTGAACTAGCTGTGTCACCAGGAAGTTCAGCATTTTATTTCCCAGCTCAAAGTGTGGGCGTGTGTGCAGCAGTGTGGGCGTGTGTATAGCAGTGTGGGCGTGTGTGCAGCAGTGTGGGCGTGTGTATAGCAGTGTGGGCGTGTGTATAGCAGTGTGGGCGTGTGTATAGCAGTGTGGGCGTGTGTAGAGCAGGGAGGGCGGACGAGTGGGCGGTAGGGCGAGCGAGTGGGCGGCAGGGCGGGTGGACAAGGTGGGTTCTAGACAGCAGTAAAAGCAAAAGACTGTGAAGAAGGTGAAGACAAATGGAGGGTCTCAACCTTACCTCTCCTAGTTACTCTTTCTTCCACACTATTTTCTTCTCTTCTCCCTCCTCCTACCCTCTCCTTTCTCCTACTTTTTCCTTCCTCTTCCTCTCTCCCTCCTCTTCCTCTCTCCTCCTCCTCTCTTTCTCCCCCCTTCTACTCTTTTCACCCTCCTTCTCTCTCCCTGCCGCCTCCTCCTCCTCCTCTTCATCTCCCTCCCTCCTCCTACATTCTTCCTCCTACAGTGTTATTTATCCATATTTCTCTACGTTCTTTTATATATTTTTCTGTCATCATCTTGTCTATTCCTTACCTCCCCTTTACTGTGTTTTTCCACTAATTTCTTTTTCTTCCTATTTCTCCTCCTCCTCCATTCGTTCTTGTGGGGTAATTCCTTTCATTTATTCTATTCCCTCCTAAGTATATTTTTTCTTGTCATTTATTCTTCTTCCTTAATGTTTACTTGTTATTTCTCCTATCCTCCTTCCCCTCCTTCCCCTCCTTCTCTTCTCATTCTTCCTACTACTCTTCCTCCTCCTTAATACTAATTTTAATACTAATAACAATAACAATAAAATAATAATAATAATAATAATAATCATAGTCGTCATCATCATCATCATCATCATCATCATCATCATCATCATCGTCATAAATCTCATCTGAAAACGAAAAAAAATAACGAGACAAAAAATAAAAAAAATAAAAAAAAATATTAAACAAGATCTAAGAAGAAATTAGATCAATGGTTCACAAAACAGAGTAACAACAGTACAGTCAACAGAGACAACAGGGACAACAGATGCAACAGGTAACAGGTGAGAGATAATGTGATACAGGTGGCAAGGCAATAATAAACATGTTGAACAGTGCGGCAGACAGGCTCGGTCAAGGGCACTCTCCCTCCCTCCCTCCCTCCCTCTCTCCATCCCCCTTCCTTCCCTCCCTATAGCCAGTCACTCATTTGAATACGGGTTGAGGGGGACACCTGACACTCTGCTCTAATAATACCTGTGACTTAATTGAGTGGTCAGTGTGAAGGAAGGTATCAAGAGAGAGAGAGAGAGAGACCCTGTCAGCCAATCTCGTCTCTGTCGGGAAAAGTCGCGTAAGGCACATCGGAAAGGGGAAGGAGATAGGAGAGAGGGGAAGGAGGTAGAGGAGAGAGGGAAGGAGGTAGAGGAGAGAGAGGGTGAAGATGGGAAAAAACGGAGGGGGAAAGTGATGAGGAAGAGGTGGTGTAGGAGGGGTGGGAGAGAGGGTGCAAAACGGAGAGGAGAGGGAGAAAGATTGTGCAAGAAAGTAGAGGAAAGAGGTGGGAAGAGAGGGGAGGAAAGTGGTAGAGAAAATGAAGGTCAGGGGGGGGGGGAGAGAGGGAGGAAGAGGGGACGGTTAGAAAACACTCTCCATGTCCAAGTGCTGTCTCTAAAACACACTAAAACACTCCCCATGTCCAAGTGTTGTCTCTAAAACACACTAAAACACTCCCCATGTCCAAGTGTTGTCTCTAAAACACACTAAAACACTCCCCATGTCCAAGTGCTGTCTCTAAAACACACTAAAACACTCTCCATGTCCAAGTGTTGTCTCTAAAAACACACTAAAAAACAAGTGTTGTCTCTAAAACACACTAAAACACTCCCCATGTCCAAGTGTTGTCTCTAAAACACACTCTAAAACACTCCCCATGTCCAAGTGTTGTCTCTAAACACACTAAACACTCCCATGTCATGTTGTCTCTAAAACACACTAAAACACTCCCCCCATGTCCAAGTGTTGTCTCTAAAACACACTAAAACACTCCCCATGTCCAAGTGTTGTCTCTAAAACACACTCACTCCCCCATGTCCAAGTGTTGTCTCTAAAACACACTAAAACACTCCCCCATGTCCAAGTGTTGTCTCTAAAAAACACACTAAAACACTCCCCCCATGTCCAAGTGTTGTGTTGTCTCTAAAACACACTAAAACACTCCCCATGTCCAAGTGTTGTCTCTAAAACACACTAAAACACTCCCCATGTCCAAGTGTTGTCTCTAAAACACACTAAAACACTCCCCATGTCCAAGTGTTGTCTCTAAAACACACTAAAACACTCCCCATGTCCAAGTGTTGTCTCTAAAACACACTAAAACACTCCCCATGTCCAAGTGTTGTCTCTAAAACACACTAAAACACTCCCCATGTCCAAGTGTTGTCTCTAAAACACACTAAAACACTCCCCATGTCCAAGTGTTGTCTCTAAAACACACTAAAACACTCCCCATGTCCAAGTGTTGTCTCTAAAACACACTAAAACACTCCCCATGTCCAAGTGTTGTCTCTAAAACACACTAAAACACTCCCCATGTCCAAGTGTTGTCTCTAAAACACACTAAAACACTCCCCATGTCCAAGTGTTGTCTCTAAACACACTAAAACACTCCCCATGTCCATGTTGTCTCAAACACACTAAAACACTCCATGTCCAAGTGTTGTCTCTAAAACACACTAAAACACTCCCCATGTCCAAGTGTTGTCTCTAAAACACACTAAAACACTCCCCATGTCCAAGTGTTGTATCAGACAGAGAGTAAAGTCTCCCTTCATTGCCTCTTGACCTATCTCGTCTCTGTGGGCCATAAATCTACTTTCTTACAGATGTTTCTCAGCCGTAAATTAACATGGTGAGACCGTCCCTCTCTGCCTCACAGGTCCCCGAGTGAGTTAAATAAAAATAACCAATGTCAGGGAGCACCTACAAAAAGAGGCAACGTTAATGGCCAAACTGCGACAAAATGAAACGAAATCGCAGCTCCAGAAAGTGCCCAATTGACGACCCTCGGGGCAAGAGGCGGCTCCCCAACACGGGTGCCCGAGGATCGATCTACACGAGTTAAGAGTGGGTGGAAATGGTCCTTATGGTCCAACGCAGTTAGATCTGGCCTCCATGGACGTCCCCGGTCCTGGTGCCATCCTGAGGGCCCATTTAGATGATATCTCCAGGAGCGGCGTGGAGGTGAGGGAGTGCCGCACAGTGCCACCACTACTCCTGCCACTAAAACCGCCAGAGGTGACAACAGTTCTGCCAGCAGTGACACCAAACATGACAACAGCAACACCATTGTTACTAAGAGTGTATTCTTTAAGTAACTCGATGCCAACAGTGCCGTCACAGTTACCAACAGTGCCGTCACAGCAGTGCCGTCACAGCTACCAACAGTGCCGTCACAGCAGTGCCGTCACAGCTACCAACAGTGCCGTCACAGCAGTGCCGTCACAGCTACCAACAGTGCCGTCACAGCAGTGCCGTCACAGCTACCAACAGTGCCGTCACTCACATGTACCTAGGAATGGCAGTGTTTCGAAGGAGTAACACCAGTGACGCTATACGTGACACCAGTGCCACTCGTGTTACTGTGACACTACAACAATCGTGGGTGACAACAGGGCCAATGCTCAGGTATAACCTAACCTTTGTCACCACACAATACAACACCACAAAAACAGATCTAAACCACTTGACCCGAACTGTGGTGGTCCCAGGTCGCCCTGTTCACCTCACAGTTGTCGCTCAGTGCTGTCCAAGTCCAGCCAACCCAAGCCCGACCAGCCCAAGTCCCCCAACCCAAGTCCGGCTAACCCAAGTCCGGCCAACCCAAGTCCGGCCAACCCAAGTCAGGCCAACCAGTCCGGCCAACCCAAGCCCGACCAACCCAAGTCCGGCCAACCCAAGCCCGACCAACCCAAGTCCGGCCAACCCAAGTCCGCCAACCCAAGTCCGGCCAACCCAAGCCCGACCAACCCAAGTCCGCCAACCCACGACCAACCCAAGTCCGGCCAACCAAGCCCGACCAACCCAAGTCCAAATCCAGCTGGCAGTACTCAATTTCCATTCCAGACATTTCGAGTTCAAATACAAGTCTTTATTTCCAATACATGGCATATGTTCGCTCCAAAACGTACCTTACGATTTTGTGTGAGACAGTAATAATAATATAATGGTTGCTCTTCGTGTAACGAGGATGGCCGGCCCTAGGGCCACCAAGGCGTGAAATTGTTTGTGCAGAAGCTGTCGCCAACACAACAACCACACCCTAAGTTAATGAGTTGCATGACCCAGTGTCAAGGAATAGTCAGAGAAAACCGGACAACTCGCCAACTGCACTGGCTAACCATTACTCCGGACCACAATCCGCAAATTCATTAACATCCAGGTCACAATTACTGGCGGGTAGACAGAGGCAAATGGTGTAGAGAAACCTGCTCATAGTTTCACCCTGTCCGGGGATCGAACCCGTGTCCGCTCGCTTGCGAGGCGAGCAAAGGACCATTACACCACAGGTCGCCACTGTAAGATAATATGACACAACAGACGAAAGATTCTGACAACACTACCCAGACAACAGGAGTCACAGTGTCGCAGATATTTTTTTGGAGCGAGTACATGTGTAATAATAACAGCTGGTCCTCATAATAACAACAGCTGGTCTTCATAGTAACAACAGCTGGTCTTCATAATAACAACAGCTGGTCTTCCTAATAACACAGCTGGTCTTCATAGTAACAACAGCTGGTCTCCATAATAACAACAGCTGGTCTTCATAGTAAACAGCTGGTCTTCATAATAATAATAACAGCTGGTCTTCATAATAACAACAGCTGGTCTTCATAATAACAACAGCTGGTCTTCATAATAACAACAGCTGGTCTTCATAATAACAACAGCTGGTCTTCATAATAACAACAGCTGGTCTTCATAATAACAACAGCTGGTATACTGAGATCTACACACCTGCAGTAATCCGGGCTCTAGTACTACAATAATCCGACCCGAGTACTAAAAGTATGTGACTTGTGATAGGAGAGGAACAATGATAAGGGTCTCAGGTTCTTGTGTAACATCTATGTTACCCCACAAGGACCATTTGCCACACCCGTACATCTATGACTACAAGCTGATGTGTTGGTGGTCCTGTGTACGGAGGATATGGTCATGATCTCTCTCTCTCTCTCTCTCTCTCACCACTTTTCCTCCCCTCCCACATCTTCCTACCTCCCTCCTGCCGTGCACATTTCCCCAAGACACATCAACCCATCCTCTCAACCAACCGTACACACACACACACACACATACATACATACATACACAACAATCAACAGTCCTCACATACACGATACACAAACAATCAATTACGCTACATTTGCTATATTACACTCGGGAAGGACAAGAGTTTTTTTTTATATTGTCATAACGCAATTAGAGGCGCACTGGGGAGCCACATATATGTAAAAAGATACCACCCCGACACGCTCTCCCTTGTCCCTCTATCACCCCTCTGTCCTTTTATCTCCTGCTCGGTATAACGATATCATGAGAGATATATTAGGGTATGGCAGGAAGCTTCTTCAGGTTAGGGGCTAGGAAGAAGGTTGGGTTGATGCTGGGTTGGGTTGGGCTGGGTAGTTGGGCTGGGTTAGAAGGCTGGGCTGGCTAAGGCGGCTGGGTTGGTTGAGGTAACAATATTGCAGGGCTGGGTTGTTGGGTTGGGTCTGGTTGGGTTGGGTTAATTGGGTTGGGTTGTTGTTGGGTTGGGTGGCTAGGGTTAGGTTAGGGTTGGGTTAGGTTAGGTTAGGTTAATGTATGTATGCATGCTTTCACAGAGTCGAGGTTCAGTCCTTTATATCGCCCTTCATCCGAGTATAAGCAAGACCTTGGAGATATATTCGAGTATGACTGGAATTTTGGTTTATATTGGTAATATTCTCTCAGCATATTATCGACCATTTTGTAATAACAAGACGAGGTAATATTTCTGAACTACTCATCTGTTTACATTACACTACATCCGGGTTGTATCGTAAACAAGGGTATGATGTATTCGGGTTATGTTTTATTATGCTTCAGGGTATTGGTAATGTAACCTGGGTATAACTTCAAGTACTGGAGGTGAAGACTGGGTGTATCATGAGGCGATGGGGGAGGGGGAGGGAGGAAGGGGAGGAGGGTGGGGGAGGGGGGGTGGTGGTGGTGATGGTGTGAAGATAGGAGGCGCCTCTGTGTGTGTGTGTGTGTGTGTGTGTGTGTGAGAGGGAGAATGGACTGGCTGGCTGGTCCAATGAAGTCATTTGATTTTTCTTTCTGTTTCTCTTTTTTCATCACTGCTTGAGGGAGGAGGGAGGAAAAGCGATGAGGGGAAAAGAGTGAAAAAGGAGAGAGAGAGAAAAGAATAGAATCAACATGAGAATAGAAAGAAAGAGAGAAGAAAGAGAACAAAGAGAGGAAGAGAAAACACCCAACAACAACAGTGAGAAGTTCACCTTGGAGGCTCAAGTGCAAGACCTAATTTACACTGAACTAATACCAAACACAACATGACTCAAAGCACCAGAGGTCCTCATGTGACCTGCCCTCTTCCCCCTCTCCCCAACTCTCCCTCCATGCCTGTATCCCCATACCCTCCCCTACACCTCTTCCCTCCAGACACTCTCACACCTTCCCTCCCTCCCTCCCCACCTGCTCCCTCCCCAACCCTCCCTCACACCTCCTTCCACATTCTCTCCCCTCACGTCATCCCATTTCCTCCAACTTAAAGTTTCCACCCCTGTAGCTCCTTTCCCCACCCCGTCCCACTCTCTCCTGTATACACCTCCCTAACTTGATCCCTCATTCTCCCTCTCCTCATTTCTCCCCTCTCATCCCTGTACAGCCACATTGCACAGCACTGTAGCCTTAACACAATCAATTCCCTCATTTCTCCTCCTTAACTCTCCCTCCCATGCATCCTCCCATCCACCTCCCCTTCTTTCATCGCCGCTATCCATTCTAAGCCCCTCCTTCCTCCTGCCTTCTGCCCATGATTCAATTCTTTCTTCTTCTACTCTTCTTCGCCACTATAATGGGTTAATTTGGATTGCTTTCTCTCCCCCCCTTTGTTGTGGGCGCTGGTGTGGCTAATGGCTGAGGTGAGGAGGTGGAAGAGGAGTTGGAGATGGAAGAGGAGAGGAGGAAGAGGAGGTGGAAAAAGAGGTAGAGGTGAGGGCGGAAGAGAAGTGGTAGGAAGAGTAGGTGAAGGTGGAAGAAGAGAGAGGAAGAGAAAATGAGGAGGGGATAGGAGAAAAGGAGGGAAGAAATGAGGTGAGAGAGGAGAGAAAGAAGTGATAAAGGGGAAAGAAGTGATAAAGGGGAAAGAAGGACGGGAAGGGTAGGAAAAAAAGAGATGGAAAGAAGAGAAAGATAAGGAGAGATGTAAAGGAAATAAGGACAAACTTGTAGAAAAAATAATGAGAGGAAGAGAGAGAGAGAGAGAGAGAGAGAGAGAGAGAGAGAGAGAGAGAGAGAGAAAAAAAAAAAAAAGAAAAATAGGAGAATGAAGAACAGAATAAAAACTGCGAGGAAGAGAGAGACTGAGAAAGGAAGATAAAATTATAAAGAAGAAATGTAAAGAAGGAAAGAAAGAAGAAAGAAAAGAACGAAGAAGAGAGATGAAGATAAACGTTGAAGCAAAAAGCAATTATCTTCATGTGAGCTCACTTACCCAGGGCAGGAATACACAATGACCCAAAGAGTAGAGTCACAGCTCAATTACGACGCCATTTTGAGTTGTACTTGTGTCATTGCTAAAGTCAACCAATGAGAGGCCTTGTTGTGTCACTCGTAGACCAATGAGAGGCTTTGTTGTGCCACTGTTAAAGTCGACCAATGAGAGGCCTTGTTGTGTCACTCGTAGACCAATGAGAGGCCTTGTTGTGTCACTCGTAGACCAATGAAAGGCTTTGTTGTGTTACTTAAAGTCGACCAATAAGAGGCTTTGTTGTCACTCGTCGACCGATGAGAAGTCTTATTGTGTCACTCGTCGACCAATGAGAGGCCTTATTGTGCCACTCGTCGACCAATGAGAGGCCTTGTTGTGTCACTGTTCAAGTCAACCAATGAGAGGTTTACAGCGTCATTGTTAAGGTCGACCAATGAGAGGCCTTGTTTGTCACTGTTCGTCAACCAATAGAGGCTAAAGCATTGTTAAGGTCGACCAATGAGAGGCCTTTGTTATGCCACTGCTAAATCGACCAATAAGAGGTATTGTTGTCACTCGCTGACCAATGAGAGGCTCTACAATCAAGTTGACCAATGAGAGCCCTTGTTGACATCTCATTTATCTTAAACAAAACAAAACCACACAAAAAAAACCAAAAATGAGTCATTACAAATCATTTGTGAGAAGACGGCACAAGACTCCACAAAAGTTTATGAATGAACCTCGTTTGAGTAGTTATATTTACTCTTATTTATGAGAAAACTCCACCACACCCAAAAAAAATATATTTATGAATGAATCTAGTTGTGAGCATTCAATTATAATGTAATTTTATGAGAAACTTCCCTAAATACAATAACAAACGTTATGAATGAATTCTTGTGAGAGAGTACTATAATTACTGAGCTTGTAAGAAAGATTCCCTGAACCCACAAAACCTTACCATATGAGTGTAAGAGTATAGTTTAGAAAAACCCACCTCACTCTTAAACTAGGGGGGCAGTCTGTTCTAGGCCGGGGAAGAGAGGAGGAGAGAAGGGAGGTGGGTGGGGGAGGAGAGGGTTTCGTCGAAGTAAGGGCACTGAGTAATAAGATGAGGAATGAGAGGGAGAGAGAGAGGGGGGAAGGAGGGAGGATGAGGGGAGGGGAGGAAGGAGAGGGTAGGAGGAAGGAGAGGAGGAGAGGAGTGAGGTGTGGGTGATAATTACTAAGGAGAGGTGGGTGGGTGGGTGGGTGGGTAGTGGGGCAGAAGTGGGGGAAGAGCAAAAGAAGGTCGGAGGAGAATGGAAGAATCCCCACAACAAAGAGGAGAAGAAGGTGTGTGGACATGATGCGATAGGGAGGTGAGTGTGGGAGGGAGTGTGTGGGAGGGAGGGGGAGGGAGGTGTGCAGGATGGAGTTTTCTGTATGTTGGAGGGAGGCATGTGTGGGACTATGTGTGTGGGACCAGTGTGTGTGTGTGGGGAAGTGTGTGTGTGTGAGGGGCAGTAATCATGTTAGGGCATCATTTGGGTGAGTGGAGTCAGTAATGAGGAGAGGGAATGTCGTCGGTCATCACCACGAGATGTATCACTCAGTGGTAATCCCCAGCCAAGCCCTCAAGTGCGGCTGTCTAGGGGAGAGAAGAGGGAGAAGGGGAGAAGGGGGAGAAGGGGAAAGGGGGAGACAAGAGAGAAGGGGGAGAGAAGGGGAGAAGGGGAGACAAGAGGGAGAAGGGGAGAGAAGGGGAAAGAAGGGGAGAGAAGGGGAGAAGGGAGACAAGAGGGGAGAAGGGGGGAGGAGAAGGGGAAAAAAGAAGGGGGAGAGAAGAGGGAGAAGAGGAGACAAGAGGGGAAAAGGGGAGAGGGGAAGGGGGAGAGAAGTGGGGAGAAGTGGGGAAACAAGAGGGGAGAAGAGGGGAGAGAAGGGGGGGACAGAAGAGAAGGGGGGAGAAGGGGGGAAGGGGAGAGAAGGGGAGACAAGAAGGGAGAAGGGGGGAGGAGAAGGAGAGAAGGAGACAAGAGGGGAGAAGGGGAGAAGGGGAGACAAGAGGGAGAAGGGGGGAAGAGAAGGGGAGAAGGGGGAGAAGGGTAGGGGGAGAGAAGGGGTAGAGAAGGGGATGGTAGACAGTGGGTGGGAGAGAGGAGGGGGGGTGGGGAGAGGAGGGGGAGGGGGGAAGAAGGGGAGAAAAGAGGGTTAGAGACAGGTGGTATGGAGGAGGAGAGAAAAAAGGGGTGGGGAGGGGAAAGGGGAGGATGATGGGAGAGGAATAGTGGGGTGGAAGTAGGACAAGAAAGGGAAGGTAGGGTGAGAGGGTTAGAGCACGGGAGAGAGGGACAAGGGGTAGAGGGGGAGAGGATAGGAAGCAATAGGTGAAGAGGATGGTTAGGGACATGGAAGGGTAGGGAGAGAGAGAGAGAGCAGAGAGAGAGCAGAG